TGGAGAAGTGTATGAGTGCTGTGTTGTAATAAGATGCAGCAACACAATAAAACCATCAAACCCAAAAACCAGTTAGTTGTCTCAGGGAGGAGAGAGAGAGAGAGAGAGTACTGAGCTCCCAGAGGGTTTTTAAAGCGCATGCCACACAGGCGCTCAGCGGTGTGTCCAGATTTTCTGAAGGGCCTGCACCTCCTGCACGCCCACTTTAAAGTACCTGCACCAAAAACAAAGCCACACAACCAGGAACAGGAACACAAGGTGGAGTGGGTCGTCACAGTGTCTAGGCAGAATGTAGATCAACAGTCTAACACTCTTCCAGACTTTTTTGACTGTGGTGGCACAAGTGGGGCACTGACTTACTCAGGGGTGGCATGAAGTATATGTCTCCACTTTCCAGTCATTCCCAATTTATGCAATTCCAGTACTGTTTATGGACCCCAATATACAGAAATATTCAAATACACTAGGCAAAACGAACACATTTATACCACATGCAAATAACTGCATGTTTTTGCCCCAAAACTGCATGTGATTATAATAAACCAGGCATGTCTGCAAAGTGGAGACTTGTGGGTTCCCATGGAATCCATTTTCATTCGGATATCTTGAGGTCAATGGTCAAGGGATCCCTTTGAAAATAGCCATGCCAGTTTTTCCATCGCCAAAATTTCCATCGGAGTCTGCCAAGATGAGGATAACCACACTGAGCTTATGAATTGGCGCTATACAAATAAAATAAAATTGAATTGAATTGAATTATACAACACAAGGTTGTATAATGAAATGAATCAAATCCATAGAATAACATAAAAGATAAATAAAATAGAATAAATATAAAAAAATATATACAGTTATTTATATACACATATATATGCCCATACACAATGTAATGTAATATATTATAACAACAAATGTCTGTTAGAAAAAAACATTTAAAACAATTGCTGCAACATTGTATTGTGTTTTCCATCAGATGTCCATGAACTAAAAGTGACATAAGGGTTAAAAGGAAGCAGCCATATTCTGATTACCCAGACAGGTTTGATGACTGCCTTGCCTATGACACCCACCTTATTAATTTAAGGTACCATATGTAGGATCTTTTATGTATTAATCACTTTTTATTGCCAATGTGTGAACAGGCTGTAATGTAACTTTGCCTGTGGACTGATTTTTCTGTCTTTCTATGTAGGGATGCGGCTTGCATTCTCCGTGACAATCCAAAAGATGTGATATATTTTTGGCGGCTTTTATTGGCTTTAATTGAAGGTGACAGCTGAAGAGTGACAGGAAAGCGGGGAGAGAGAGAAGGAATGACACACAGCAACAGATCATAGGTCAGAGTTGGCAACTACAGCAAGTACTCAGCCTTAGCACATGGGGTGCCAGATCTACCAGCTGAGCTATGTGGGCACCCCAGAAAATTTAAAAGGTATGCAAAGTACTAAAGACAGCAGTGTTTTGTATAAAGCACATCTGTGTGTTGTTGCTGCTGAGACAGGGTAATTCAGATGGTGAATGTGTGTGAAGCTCCAGACTGAATCTCCATTAGCTTGCCTTGGCATTCCTTAGCTGCAGTCTTCCATCTTATCAGCTATCCAATACCTGAGTACTTCAGCTCCCCCAACTACCTTATTCTCTGACGTTTCCAGCCAGATGATCAATCCCATGTCTGTGCTTTATAATTATCTGTTTTATTAGTCAAAGCTGTTTACCATAACCAAATACTCTCCTGCACCAGCCAGTCCAGCCCCTTCCTCCAACCTACAGCTGGATCTTCTTTTGTCAGCAGCTTTCTTAATCTCCTGGCTGCACCTCTAAGTGTGTACCCATAGCCAGCTCAATGGAGGAAATTCCAACGTGGTCAGAAGAGAAAGTCAGTAGGCTACCACTGAGGGACAGGTGGTGAATGTGCCAGAGATGTTCGGAAGGTCAGCCAGGAGTTTGGTAATGGTGGTCAGTGGGAGACTACTGCCTTTCTCCTGACCACGCTAGATTTGCCTCCCATGAGCTGGCTACAGGAATCCACCCAGAGGGGCAGACAAGAGGTTAGGAATGTTGGCTGTAGAGCAAGACCTTTGGAGAAGTCAGATAACAATGTTGTGGGCGTTTGAGAGACCAAGGTGGTGGGCAGCTGAGGTACTGAGGTATTTGTCAGCTAACATACAGAGGCACATTCCGAGACCAGGGAAAGCTGCAGCGTAGGAGTCCTGAGGCAAGCTGATGAAGATTCAGTATAGAGCTTTCCAGGATCGAGGTTAAATGACTAGAAAGCAGGCCAGTAGTTTCAAAGCTAGCTGACAACATGCTTGCTTGAGGCAAAATGCTAAACTTTCTGTATTGGATGCAGGTTGAAGGATAGCAGATCAGAGGCTAGCTGACTGGGAGGTTGAATTAACACAAGCTGTCCAAAAACTAGCTGCTAGGGCAAGCCTCTTTAGCTGCCCACGGCCTTGGTATGTTGGCTGCCCGATTTCTCAGTTAACCGACTTCTCAGTGCCTTGGTCTCTCAACTACCAACCAACTTGACTTTTGGCTGTTCCACTGAAAAAAGATCACACTCTACAGTCACTTCTGCCATTCATTGAACTGCCTCTGTCCAGCCAGACCATCAGTCACCTGTCTGTTTTCATCAATTGTCTGTCTGCCATTGGCCATTGGTTTAACTCCACAGAAGACTCTCCTGCACCAACATGTCCAGCAAATTCCTCCAAACTACAGCACAATTTTAGTAACACCGCTCACAGCTACTCCAGGGAGTTGCTTACAAGATTGACTAGGAGACATGGGAAAGGTGGCAGACAACAGAAGATCCTGCTGTTGATTGGAGGAGTCTGCTGCATGTGTGGGTACAGGGGAGACTTTTATGCTGGTAAACAGTTTTATCTAATGGCAGACAGACAACTGAAAAACACAGACAGGTAGGCAGTTGGCAGAAGTGACTGTGGTACAGGATCTTGTTTTAACAGTATAAGTCAGAGGACAAGCTGGTGGGCAGCTAAGCTATTGAGGCCCTGTACAGTTGAAAAATCAGCTAGATTTCACGCACCTAGGCTCTACCTCCCAGTAAGATACTACTGGTCCTGCTGTCATCATGTCACTTAGATAGCTGGCGTAAATCTTTTCAACATCGTGGTGGCTCACCCAGCCGCAGACATCTCAGAAGTGAACAATTTTGCAAAACTGTATATTCAGAGTAAAAGCAAAATTATAGCGAGAGGGAGGTGTACCCCAGCATTAATTAACCTACACAACTGAAGGGACAGTGAGGTGTACAAACTTTTCAAACGGACTGGTAAAAAAGAAAAGAGTGGCTATGCTAACAGTCAACACCTTAATTGATGTGTTCACCAGATGGATTGTATTTACAAGTAGCCTGGATCTACAGAGTCTTTGTAGCCTACATTTATGTAACATTATGTTTAGCTTCATATTCAGATAATAAGAAAATGCATGCAAAGTCATTGCAAAATCAATGAAAGAAGGGGGTGAAAGTAGTGTAACATCATTTTAAATATGCATTTGTAAATAACAGTTACAACTACCCTATTCTGAATTAAAAATGTTGTCCAATAATCAGTCATTCCAAAATATGATTTTCTGTCTCTATACTGCAGCCATCTAGGAGCTTCTCAGGCTCTAAAGGCTCTTTTAAATTTAAGATCATTCCAAAGCTGCAGGAGGTCATTTTTATAAACTTTTTTTGGTCATATTTGCTGAAACTTCCATTATATCCTGCCAGTAGTACATGAGATAGATAATCGGTGAAAAAATCAGGCCCGGTGGATTCTTGTTAATACCATTAGGATCACTAGGCGAACCCAAAGGAACCAGATTTTTTCACAGATTATCTGTCTCATGTACTACTGTTAGAACAGTCAAAATTTGAGCAATAATGACAAAACGTTATTTTTAAGTTACCTACTGCACCTTTAAGTCAAACAAAAAATTTATTCATTCAAATTTTCACTTTAGCAATTTGATAAATAGGAACAGATTCAGAATTTTCAACCTCTTACTAAAGTTTTAATGCTTTTATTAGAACAATACTGGAGGCTTACACATATTTCTATGCATAATTAAAAGTTTGTTTAATTAAAGGATTCTATAGTGTCACATTCAATTAAACTAGAAACAAGTAGCTGGTAACAAAATGAAAACATTTTGTATGCTAAAGAAAGTAAGATATTCTTTTCAGGAGTTGTTGGACCAAACCAGAGCTATAAGCTAGTGGACGTTCAAAACTAGTAACAGAGCCTGTAGAAAAAACTGAAATACACAAAAAAGCAAATATTATCAGACAAATAATTTCAGAAAATTACATCAAAACCCATATTTTATTTTATGTATAGCAATACCATTTACATATTAAATAACACTATAATAGAATGCTTTGATATAGCTTTTAACAAAAAGAAAAAAAAGAAATCCATCTTTATTCATGTTACAAAAGAGGAGCGAGCAGCCACCTTTCCAAAACGGGTCAATAATATAATATGATAATTATCAAGTGACTTACAGGAGAGCTATTCTATTGTTCACGTCTGACAACAGAATCATAGCCTCCAGAGGATGAATACCAAAAGCCAAATTAATCAAAAGAAGAGGGTTTACATTGTAATATCACAATCACTGCCTGAACAATAATGGAGGGCGTGAGGCTGGAAACTGGAATGCAATAGTGACTACAACCTGGACGCACAGGCACCTGGCTTCCACACGATCCACCACAAATAGCGATGCCGTGAGTTCAAATTGAGAGAAAACTGACTGAAAGTACTTGTGATTATCAGACTGGAAACCTTGTAAGAGATTTGTGGTATATGCAAGGCCAAGAAATGTAAAAAAATTAAGCTTGATTTACAAAATCATCGAGAAATTAAAAAATGATAGAATTTCAAAGTCTCATGAAAACATTTCCTCTGAAACGATCAATACATACACAGTTTCCAGAGAAGGGCTGGGTTACAGAGGCAACAAAATATATGTACATTTCTTATTGACAGTACAGCTGTGTGTGCCCTTCAAAGGCAACACAAAACACTTTTCATTCTGGATGATCGCAAAGATCAGAATCACCTGAAAATGGGGAAAATGGTAGAGTGACCATTGTAAGGACCTGGTCACACCAGCATATATAACAGCAGCATTTCAGAAATCAGTACATTTCGCAGAACATGCGAATTCATGCTGTTAAGTCTTGATAGTGCAAAACTTTGAGGGATTGGAGATCCCAAGTTCAAAATGGAGGCAGCTATCATATTAACACAATTCCATTTGATATCATCCTGTTCCACAAAAGAGATGCATGATGGCCTGCATTCAGTCATAATAGATGTGGATATTGGTAGTATAGTATAGTATTTCCTTGAATTAGCTTGTTAACTAAATTAACTCAATTGTCCTGTTAGTGACGTAGCAAGCTAACTAGTATGGCAAGCTCCTTTGACTGACTAGCACTAGCACGTTGTCAGGTAGCTAGCATGTTAGAAGTTAAGGTAGCAGTAGCTTTTTTCAAAGATTCCACTTTCTGGTGTGACCTGGCACTTAGACAAAGTGTGTCTTCAACAAAAAAATAAATAAATGCCCCCAAAACAGAAAAAAAAATGGTGGATTTCTCCCTACAAGGTGGAAAAGATGGAGATAACACTCCCAGAGAAACAGAAATAGAAATGTTTTGAATCTTTAATGCCATTCTGTCTGCTCAGTTTATCTTTTGATGCATCTCTTTATCCCAAATGACGGTGTATAACAATGACTGCAAGTAAGGACTTGGCTGAATTTAAAACAAACAGATACCAGATACTGAGGTGAGACTTTTGTAAGGACACTGATAAAAATACAGATATATTGTAAGGGGGGGAGAGGAGGGTTGGGCATCCAGTCAGGAGAGATAAATCATCAAAAGAGAGGGAGAGAAAAGCTCACCCAATATATTTTCTGCATGGGAAAGATTCAAGTCTTTGGTAAAAGTTTTTTAAAAATCAAAATACATTTGTCCCCCTCGCACTCGAACACATCTGTTTTGTGCTGTGTGAAAAAAAGAATGCTTTCACATTATCATTCAAAATGCAAAACTACAAGTGTTCGTTTCACGCCATTGATCACAGAGGTACAGAATATCAAAGTCAGCGACTAAATGAGAACATCCTTATGTCAAAGAGATATCTAAGTATATAAGTGTGTGTGTGTGTGTGTTGTGGTGTTGTGTGTGTGTGTGTTGTGTGTGTGTCTGGTGTGAGGGGTCACTGCAGCTAAAACAGGAAACATTTCAGACAGCTCTTTGCTTGTAGACCACAAAACCACAAAAAAATAAATTTCGGGAGAAAAGAGAGTGAAAAACGTAAACTATGTACACAAGGCCTTGGAAGGTTGGAAAGGGTGATCACACCTCTGTCAACGAGCACGGATCTTGAACAGGCCTCCACCTCTTTTGGTTTGTCTTGTTTGTCAATCACGTTAATACACAGTGGACACAAATTGTTTGAGTACTAGCTTTCCAGTTTGTGACATACTGAAATTAGCCCCTTAGGTCTGTAAAATCTCTGGTCAAAGCCAAGGATTTTATTGACATGGCGAATGCTTTTGTCTAGAAACTGGAGATAAAACCACCTGTAAGCTTAAATTAATGTTTCTGTGTGTTTATGCCTGGTTTAATCGGAAGAGCAACAGATTGTCAGGCCATGTGGTCAATTAGTGGTGTGTAATTTGGCGACAACTGCCAATTTAAGTTATAATTAAAAGGATAAGGCTGACAATATTCTATAAATGTTTTATTGTTGCAGATCAGGAAAAACACAGCTTGATGAAAGTCTGTGCAATGAAATGCTGTTATGATGAAGAGGACAGTGTGCTGGAGTCTTTTGTTTCGTATTGGTCTTCTCCTACGCACCAAAAGTTTTGCCATTGTTGTCAACAAATCCAAAGAAAAGACCAAAACCAACAATGAATTGATGATTGATGATGTGTAGCCAAACCCTGATATGTCTCAATGTGTAATTATCCGCAGCTTAAAATAGTCCCCAACATTTTTTTCTCACATTTGAGTAACATTTGTTTTGTTTTTGGAAATAACTGTGTGCTTTCTTCAAATAAAACAAATTTTAAAGGTTCATTTCTTGAGTAGGAGCCAATGGCCTTGAGGCTGAGTGGTAACATGCTAGAGAAATCTGTCTTAAGAGACATACTAACACCTTCTTTGTTTTGGTCATTTCATCAAATTTGTCGACAATAAGACAAATACTATAATAATAATGATCTTTCAACTTTGACATTGGCTTTCTAACGGGGCCATATTGCCAATCTAGCAGATAGGAAATTTAAGCAGAAAACTGCTTGTGTATTTAGTGTATTTAGATTTTTTAACAATTTTAACGGAACCTTAGCTGGCACCTCTGCCTCATTTAAATCAGGTTGTTGTGACAGATGGGTTAAGTTGTATGTAGTGTGTGTGTGGACTGTGTGTAGATTGTGTTTCACACATGATCTCGGAACTTGGGTGAAACTTTTATGAAAAACTGTATGACAATTATTTAAATTAAATTTCCCAGGAGTAAGGAGAAACCCAGGACACTCCCATTTTGTTGGTACAGGCAGTGTAGATGGAAGATTACCAGTTCCAAATTTGAGTGAACGAAGTCAGGAATTGATAAGTGGTATTAAAAAGCCTGTTTCTTAACACACTCCAGCTCTACAGAGGTCACATTCATCAAAAAATAAAATAACAGATTTCAGAAGAGATATCATAACAAAAAATATTTTATGTTTGATTCTCCATTCTTATATCATCATCAAAAATGTACTGTGTATCATGTAAAGCACCTAACTCTAAAGTAGACAAAGAGGGTTTTTTAGCAGTTTTTACTCAAATCAAATACAATTACTAGATCAAAACATGAAACAAATCTAAACCCACTGTCACCAGTCAAATCTCAACTAGACTAACACTAAGAACCCAAAGACTGTTTCAAACCCTGTTTCAGATTTCCAGAACCTAACCAACTTGTTGCATAGAGCTTATTTTTGAGTCTGCTGTTCCCCGGCAGATCAGACTGATTCAACCCTGTAATAACACACACAGGTGCATGTGAGTAAATGAGGGCCTGACACATCGGCCTCTGTGTTCTCAATCCGTGCTTGTCTGTCAGGATGAATTTATGACAGAAAAAAAACCTTTATTTCAGAAAGATGGGGAATGTCATGTTGTTGCATCATCTGTTGTAGTTCGTCATATGTTGCAAATGTAAAATCACCCCCTACTGGTGGCCTCTGTATGTGTGTATTTGTGTGTGAGTTCAGATGACATAGCAGCATACAAGAACGTAGAGGACTGAGGGAGTCCGCTTCTAGGTGGCTGGGAATCAGCTGAGAGTACTGGAGTGGTAAACTATAGGACGCAGTGGAAATCGACCAGCCAGAGGCGGGAGGCCACAAAGGACAGGTACAAAAATCACAAAGTTATTATGATAAGGATATATTTATATATGTATACATACAGTATTTCCATATATTAAAAAGCATAATATGAATTATACAAAGAAACAATAATAAAATTTCACAGTAGCAGTTGTTACACCACCTTAGGTATTCTAACATGGGTGTGACTCGCTAATAAGAGGGAGAGTGACAAAAAACAAGGCAAAAAAAGAAAAAAGTGAAGAGGAAATTTATTTTAGAAAACAAGCGCTACTTGTCAGTGGCAATATGCTCCAAGATCTCGGTTGTTGTGATAAATGAGTGGTAATATGAGTACTATAGATGAGTGGGGCAGAGGAGGTCACGCTGAGCTGAAGTCAAACAGCTTTTTGTTACTGAGGCGGAGAGTCCGTGCCTTCCTCTGTCCACTGTCCTAAATCAACTGGTAGGTGGAGGGCAGAACAATATCCTTCACAGAAGCAGTGGGTTTAATAAGGGCCAAAGCCGTGGAATGTCAAAAAAATCTGAGCTCGAGTAGAGAAAAGCCAAGTGGGTCAGCTTTAGTATAGGCAGTAACACTGTCATTATATAGTGCAAACAAGAAAAGACAGAAAAGTGTTTCTCGTTGCCTACCGACGCCGTCGTGAAACTTAAAAATGCAGGTGCAAACCCTTCAGTAGGAGAACATTAAGACATAAAATGGCGAAAAAAATAAATATCAAAAACTTTTTATCAGTGTAAAAAAGTAATCAGGTTATTCATTTTAACCAAGAGTCTGGCAAAAAAGGCCTCAAAAAGTCTTGTCCACAATAGTTCCTTGACGTTTTACAAAGTTAAGTGCCTCCTTTGTGGGCTCAGGGACCTCGCAGGGTGCTTGGACCCATAGGATGCCCTCAGCTCAGCCCCAGGCCCCCCACAGGGCCTCTCTCAAACCAGCGACTCCATGCTCTCTGCCTGGTCAGACTGGTCGGACATGGACGCCATGGTCCCGTTAATGTCCCTGGCCAGAAGACGGGAGCCGCTGCCCTTGGTGCTGACGAGGCTGAGCAGAGCTTTGTATAGGTACTGGTACTGGTCCTGTGGACCGATCCATGACAGACAGAGAAAAGACAGAGACAGGAGAACAGGTGAGGACAACAGACTGTATACCCATACTTTTTTCCTCCTCGAGCCACATCAGTCAGGGTTTTAAAGTTATGGATTACATGTAACCGGGATCAGATCAGTTCAAATAAGATTACAAAATTAAGTAACATAAGAAACCCAGATTATATATATATATAAAAAGTGTGGTTATATTATAGTTTCATTGTCAATTATTACTTGATTATATTTTCAATTATGTGTTTAAAAATGCCCCTTAAAAAAAAAAGTTTGTTTTTGTTTTTCAATGATGATTTAAGGATAATAGAGTTTTTATTAATTTCGATTTACACTGAAAATGGAAGAAGAACATTTTGAGTAAGTGCTCCTCTGTACTCAACAACAGAAATAGCACCCCACATGGTGCATAGTACACCTGGAGTGTGTGCTGTTTTTGTAATTGATTTGACCAACAGTAAATGCTGAATATACAAAATGGAATTTTATTTTAATTAAAAAGGTTGTAATTGTTAAAATAGAAAAAAAAATTATATTTGTGGATCTCTTTTTTAGCATGAGGTGAAATATTTTCAATGTTTCATTTTGAAGTAATCCCAAAGTCAAATCAGATTACATAATTTTTTTTGTAATACAATAAATTATGGTATGAATTTTCAAAAATTCCATGTAATCCTTTTTTAGTAACGGACTACATTTCAAAGAAATCAGACCCAACCTTGCCAGTAGTTATACTGTTGCTTAATAGGTTTAATGAATGTGGATGTAAAGCTTATGTGGCTTGTATATTATTGTATAATATTGTATAATATTATGTTTCCCAGTAACTAGTAGTGTAACTAATTACTAATATAATAGTAATACTATTACAGTTACTCTTCCAAAAATTAATTAGTTGCAATATTACTTTTCCTTTTGCTTTTGAAATCCAACAATCCAATCACATCCTTGGATTTATTTTTGTAATCCTGGAATTAGTTTGGAAAATGGAAATATTACATTATTTTGATTTGAACAAATAAAACTGGATTTTAATCATGTTAAGTCTGAATTTTGGGAAGAAGGGACACAATTACCACAATTTTGTGGGGAGTAGCAGAAAGGTAATATAACTAGTAGTGTAACTATTTACTGTTGGCAGGGAGTAATACGTAATTATATTACTTTTGAAAAGCTATACTAATTTTTTTGAGTAACTAGCCCAGCACTGCTTATCAACCATGCATTTGACACAATTAACTAGATTTATCCAAAGTAGATGATGTTTTCTTCTAAAACTCTCTGCAAAACCCAAGCATAGAAGCATGTGGAAAATCCTTGGAGACAAGAAATTACTGTATGGCTGTCTCAGCAAATGTGCTCTCAGTTTGATGCTTATGTCTTCTATTCATACAGAGTTAGTAAGATCTGCTTTCTGTTACTGTGTCCCTGATACTTCGAGTTTGCTCTTTAAGATGACCTCATTAATACCACTGGGCCAGTTCCATTGTAATTGTTATTACTTTTAATGTTTTTATTGTTCTATTGTTTATCTCTGTCAATTTCTGTACCTTTACCTTTAACTCAGTTCCTACCTAAAAGCCTTCTTCTTTATTACCAGCTAAAACCATGGTTTTAGTGTGCTCAGTGTGATTTCTTACGATTTAAACAAAATTATGATTGATTGATTTTTTCATTACTAGCGAGAACGGGCACTGGCAGTAAGTCAGAGTTTGAGGTGCTGAGAGTAAGTTAATCTATATAATCATGTCACACTGAATGCAGGACCTTTGTGGTTTTTGTATTAATTTGAATGGCCATGATCATTTTTAGCCTATTTAATAGTTATTAACAACTTTTTACACAAATTTTATATATTTTTAGCAAATAAAACAAGGCTCTTTCCTGCCTATACACATGTACCCCCCTACTTCCAGTGTAATATTCTTTCATTCAACAGTTTTGTGCTTGATGGATGTTACCAAATCCTTGTCAAGTTCACTAAACTGATGATCCTTGTGAACAAGGAGCATCATCTGATAACTAAAGAATGGTAAGTTGGTATATCTCTGGGTATTATTTCAGCTGCAGTTGTCAGACTCACAATGTCTGTGAAGACCCCTGGCCTCATGAGGTTGATCATCTTGGCCACTTGATAGACATCGACGGCGCCCTCGCTCTCCAACTGCTGAGACAGGGTGGTGAGGGCACACAGCATGCCGGCTGACACTGCTCCCAGCCTGACACAAACACAGTTAGGATCTGGGGTTAGCATGCATCTCCACATAATATCAAAAATGCTTCTCACCCACTGGTTTCGTAACAGATTGATGATTTTTCAGTTTTTACATGTGTAGGAAAGGTCCTGGGGTTATCAAAATTAAAGCTATCTTTTGTGCAAAATTACATAATGTGAAAGACTATATTTACTTAATATGTAGATGCAAATCACAGTCTGGTGAAACCACTCACTGTGGCATAACATCTCATGACATCTAACTGCTGTTCTACATCTATGGCACCTTTAAATAATATTTGTGCTTCCCACGTTGGCTGGAAGACTCCACCGGCAATAAGAGACTGAATGTTGTAGTGCTCAAAAAACAGAATGTTTCACATGTTTTTATAAATGAAAAGCCTGTGGAAGTTGCATTGTTCAACCACATCAATGTATAGTGTACTTCAGGTCCCGAGTTCTATTTTAAAGCAGCAATATACCAAAAACAACTATCCATCTGGCAGCAGCTGTATGAACACTACATGTTATGAATATTTGTTTCATCATCTCCTAATATTTTAGAATAGAATTTAAAATCCTCCTCCTCACCTATAAAGCTCTTCATGGTCAGGCCCCTTCATATCTTAAAGAGCTCATAGTACCCTATTACCCCTCTAGAACACTGCGTTCTCTGAATGCAGGGCTACTTGTGGTTCCTATAGTCTCTAAAAGTAGCCACCAGCAGCCACGAGCTTCAGTACCAAGCTCCTCTCCTGTGGAACCACCGCTTTCCAGTCTGTGGTTTGGAGGCAGACACCCTCTCCCACATTTAAGAGTAGGCTTAAGACGCGTTCCTCTTTGATTAAAGCTTATAGTTTAGGGCTGGATCAGGTGAGTCCTGAGACCATCCTTAGTTTATGCCTGCTATAGGCCTAGACTATCGGGGGATTTCCCATGGTGCACTGAGCTCTCTCTTCCTCTCTCTCTCTTCTCTGCCTCATTCATGTCCCTTCCCATGCTGTTACTCAACTTCACTCTCTTCCCCGAGTTCTTGTGCTTTCACGATCTTGCAGGGTTCTCATGGATCCTCGGTGGAGCCTCCCATTGCCATGGTCCTGCTCGACATTACCATTCTATGTCACTGATTGTATTGTAGGGGGGGCGGGGGGGGGGGGGGGTGGGGGGGGGGGGCGGGGGGGGCGGGGGGGGGGGCGGGGGGGGGGGAGGGGCGGGGGGGGGGGGGGGGGGGGGGGGGGGGGGGGGGGGGGGTGTTATTATGGTATGCATATGAATATTATTATTATTATCTATTTGGGTATTATGTTCAGGTATTAGCAGTATTATTAATTCATTTATTATTATTATTATTATTATTATTAATTATCTTCAATCATCAGTATTATTAACTGTTCATGCATCGATCAGTCACCTACTAATTACGCATGTATCGTTGCTACTGTTGGTTGCTCGTGCACCTGTTGTCTGTCTGTTGTCTGTCTTCTCTCCTCTCCTCTTCTCTACCCTCCTCTCTCTCTCTTTCTCTCTCTCCCCCACGCTGGTCAAGGCAGGATGACCAACCCACCTTAGAGCCGAAAGGGTCTGTCTAGGCTTTCTGCCTGTTAAAAAGGCAGTTTTTCTTGCCCGCGACCCCCCGCCCCCCGCAACGGTGCTTGCTCATGGTGGTACTCGTTGGGCTCTCTAGTAAATGTTATAAGGAGTTCGGTCTAGACCTGCTCTATTTGAAAAGTGTCCTGAGATGACTTCTGTTATGAATTGGCGCTATACAAATAAAATTGAATTGAATTGATTTAATATTTATTAAGCTTTTAGCATGCATTTGAGGAGAAAAACAATTTTCTCATCATGCTGGGTTCCATGAACTCACTGGGTTATGTTAACAGTAAGCTCAGGGGGACTGAACGTTTCTTATCATTCTTACACATACTCCACTACTCACGTCTTAGCCCTGTTTATGACTCCCCAAATTGTTAGATGTATGGCAATCTCGGAACCTGTCAGCTATTCTTAGTCTCTAGGGGCAATGGCCAATGATGTACGGGCCAATACTTCCTCTGCAGTCTGATTGGCAACTTCATATGGGAGAATGGCACATTTTGGCTAATCTCTATGAACACATATCTGCATGAATGTAGATACAGTTAAAAAATAAATAAATAAAAAAGCTAAATTTTCCTCAGACAACTGATGTCACCAATCTGCAGATATCTGTTTATAGAGATTAGATGTGTTATATAGCCACCATTTGTACAATTGTACTTATAAATGGTCTTTTGCCAAAGAAATGCTCACTTGCCCTGTCTCCTCTGACTGAAGTCTCATTCAATTAAATCCATGGGCTGCAGCGAAATCTCTCAGTGGACTCTCAAAATTCCTGATTTGAGATGCTGTGAAGACCTTTACAACTCAGCATTTGACATGTCCTTGACAGCAGCTCAACCAGGGAATGAACACTCTCACAGATCAGGAATGTCACCTCTGAGATTAAAGATTTATTAGCAAGTGAATCCACCTGAGAACGACAGCTCAGCCCGTTGTGAGGCTCCCTGGAGAACACTGGGTTGCCTGCACGATGTAAGGGGTCTCCTCTTTCATTAGCATCCCTGTCAGAAGCTCAGCAGAAACCGCTGCTAACAATCCATGGCTGGCTGAATAATGAGCGTGCAGACAATTAGGACGAGCCTCTACCAGACAATCTCTTAGGTGCTGCAAGCCGGCTGCGCCATAGCAACCAGATGAAGTGCTCAATTAGTCACTTTTATTCTTGAGGATGCGACAAGCAATCTTCATTATTCTAATGAATAAACATGAGCAGAGTTGCTGGATTAGAGTGTCATTCAAGAACACTAATGTGTGTGAATACTTAAGACACTTTCATTATGTTTAATTGGGCAGTTTGTTGCGGTGTCAGTGGTGGGGGGATGGGGGGCAGGATGCAGCAGGATAGTCAGGCTGCCACTGTTGCCAAGTTTTTGGTCATTCCGTGTTCACAAGGAAAAAAGTATATTAACCTGAGAGTGAACACAATGGAACTAATCAGTATTGGGGATAACAACCACAGTATTATGTGAAAAATAATAATATAGGCGCCCGGTTAGCTCACACAGGGTTCGAATCCGACCTGTGGCCCTTTGCTGCCTGTCATCCCCTCTCATTCTACCCCCTTTCCTGTCACTCTTCAGCTGTCACTGTTGATTAAAAGACAATATAGCCTTAGCTAACGTTAGCTTACCAGACATTATCAGGGTTTTTCACGCTTAAAGGAATGTTTTGTGCCTCCTGAAGAGGTTTTATTAAAGGAAAATCAGATCCCCTCCAAATGTATTTAATCAACAATTTATCAAACAGCTGCTGAAGGAACAGAACATAAACTTAAATCCAATATCTTTGACTGTTGCTGTATTTTACACACGTGGTTGAACCTGTGCAACATTGTTGTGACTGGGGCTACGTGCTCCTCTGAAAGCTAACGCTAATGGGAGAGAGGACTTCCTGAGATTTCTCATGAAATAAAAGTTTTATTGAACCTGTCACCTAAAGCAAACAGTAGGCCTGCATGGAAATGTGTGTGAGACAGAAATAAAAATAAAAATGATACAAGAATTCCTGTTTTTAGGTTATTTTAACTAACTTTAATAGCCTTACTTGTAGCTGCTACCTAGCTAGCTTCAACTTTACTTCGTACATTACATAAACATAGACATTGTTTTTGTGGCAGCAATCACAACACAACTTTTCAGTAACAGTAGTATTAGTGTATTATACTGCAAAGCTTTGGGAAAAAAATTATCTTGCATTTCTTATTAATTTGAGTCAATAATAACCACAATCAATGATTTTTTTTTTTAACTGACCCCATAGTTTTTAAAATATAGCCCTCGTTTCATGGTTAAAGTACCGAAATTCATAAAAATAGCAAAAACGGGGGAAAAATCAAATATAATGCTAATTTATGAAGAAATACACAACAAAAACACATTTATAGGCATTGGACCCACTTTATTTGTGGTAATATGCCACAAAACATTTTCACTTTAACAAAATATTGTAATATACAGGAAAACAATTTCACTTCAGAACTTCTCAACATATCTCAACTGTGTGGTGGTGCAACAGCACAAATAAATAATCGATCCACATATACTATGCAGTATTGCTGGTTTGCATTTAAAAATGCATTTAAAAATGCAAACACAGCGTTTCTTCTGAGGTGGTGGAGAGGATGATGAAGGTCGGCCAACTTTGGATGCTGGCTTGTTGACTTGGTACAAGCTGTGGGCGACTGCTAAGTGGAACCTTTTGAGAGACATTGGTTTCTCTTTCAGTAGGCCACAGTCCCTCTTGTAGACCAGCCAGGAATTTGTGATGCACAGGTCAATGATGTATCCAAAGAGGGGGACGTACCATCGCCTTGACTTAGCTGGGGTCTTGTACAGGTGTACCAGCATGTCAGAGAGATCAATCCCTCCCATATGCTCATTGTAGGCATGGATGAGTGACAGGCATGGGATGGGGATCTTTGCATGGGCGTCTTTACTCCAGCGGTTGACGGTTGAAAGAGGCATGATCGCAAAGGCATTGCTCAGAAAGTTGACACATTTATTGTCAAACCATTTTACTGCGATCACCCCTTCAGCAGACCTGTAATCACAAGCTCCATGCCCTCTCTTCATCAGGTTTTTGTCTGTCATCAAAGGAGCTCCCCCAATGCGGTTTGGTCGAACAGTGCCAATGCACTTGACACCCAGGGAGGTGTGCAGGTTCTGGACCAAGTCGAAACTGGTGAAGAAGTTGTCACAGAAGACAACAGAAAAGCCGTGGCTGTGTTATGGTTTTGCATAGCGTTGTCACCACTTTGGCCCCTAAAAGTAGCATCTGCTCCTGCTCAGTCAAGGCAACATTGAAGAAAGTGGATGCCCCCTGATAGAGCAGAAAGTCATGAATGATGCCAGATGAGCTGGCCCGGCAGAACAATTTAAAGCCCCACTTGTCTGGCTTGTTGGC